AGGAGTTGGATATTCTGGGAACACAGTGGGTGGAGGAGTCAGAGCTGAAGCTGGGGCTGAGTTCAGAGGCTCTGGGAACCAGGCAGGGGCTGGAACTGAGGTGCATTTCTGCTACTCTGGAAGTGTAGCATGAATAGAAGCCAGATCTAGAGCCAGATTTAGAGACGGATAATGCCTATTAATTCCTTGAGTCAGCTAAAAATCTGTCTTTTTGAAATCTAGCATCATAATTTTGCTGACCTCATGTTTTCCCCATCTCAGGATCTGGAATTCCATCATATAGTGACCACTCCCTCCCAAGGTGTCTGTCACCTTCACATGCTTCACCAGTTCTTCCTTACTGGTCAGATCCAAGATAGATGATATCTTAGTTATATCCTCAACCTCCTGGCACAGAAAGTTGTCCTCCACACAAGTTAGAAACCAGCTCAACATTTTATGTTTGAGCTGGTATGAATTGTTCTTCCAGCAGATATCTGGAAAATAGAAGTCTCCCACTAATACCCTCCCATAGCTTTTGGATAAATTTGTCACCTCCTTGAAGAGTACCAACCAAGGGGCAGCGACCACCCGCAGCCGCCATCAAGGAAAAGTGCCTTTTTGCAGGGGGTGCACTGCCACACTAAGGGGGTGCATATGCACCCACATGTACCCCCTACACATCACCCCTGGGAACATCTGTGGCCAGTCAGGGGACCACTTCATAGAACAGGCTGGCTGTAGTAGACTTGGCAGCCAGAAGGATGGCTAGTTAGTAATGAGCTGAAGGTCAGCAAATGGACAGGTGGTCAACTACAGGCAAGGACTTATCCTGAGAGGGTAACTCCCTCAGGGAGAGGAAGCAGGGTGGCAAACTGTACCCAGGCAGGTAGGCAGCCCAGAAGCAAGGGACTGCTTACCTAAGCCCTAGCTGAGAAGGCAGGCAGGTCATCAAGCACAGGGAGGGAGCGCCTGTGGGGCACTGCAGGGTCACATGATTGGATAGGGCAGGGCTTAGGGGGCTCATAAAGCCACTGCATGAGCAGGCAGGGCAGTCTGGCTGAGAGGGAAGGTGCTCCTGGGCCAGGAGGCAGAAGGAGACTGCCTGGCTGACTTGAGAAACTCTGAGACCTGCAAACAAAATACCTGCAGAGAGGTAGGACCCAGGGTTGTTCAGCCAGGGACCTGAGGATACAACCCAGAGAGCTCTTCCCCTCCCCCCGCCTCCAACTATAGAAAGGATGTGGACAAATTGGAAAGAGTCCAGTGGAGGACAACAAAAATGTTTAGGGGGCTGGAGCACATGAGGAAAGGGTGAAGGAACGACATTTATCTAGTCTGGAGAAGAGACAGCTGAGAGGGAATTTAATAGCAGCCTTCAATTACTTGAAGGTTGGTTCCAAAGAGGATAGAGTTAGACTGCTCTCAGTAGTGGCCAATGACAGAACGAGCAACGGTCTCAAGTTGCAGCAAGGGAATTTGATATTAGATATTAGGAAAAAACATCTCACTAGGAGGGTAGTAAAGCACTGAATCAAGCTACCCTGAGAAGTTGTGGCATCTTCATGCTTGGAGGTTTTTAAGACCTGGGTAGGCAAAGCCTTGGCTGGGATGATCAAGTTGGGGATGGTCCTGCTTTAAGCAAGGGATTGGACTAGAATACCTTCTGAGGTCCCTTCCAACCCTAATTTTCTATGATTTTGGGATTCTATGAATAGGTGCTTCTCAGGGCCATCTGCAGTGTGGATGGTACAGCATCATGGGGCACATCCTGCATATCAACTCTGCACTGTCAGAGCTGTGCCCCATGTCTTGCCCCTCAGTGCTCAGGACCCTGCTCAAGAACAGGTTGAAAGACATCAAATCAGGCTCCACCACCAAGTGTGACCTGGTGCCCCTGTGTCCCCAGGGCCCTTCTGCATCTTGGGTGGTTTTTGCTATCTTCTCCACCTTCCTTTTAGTGTGAAATATGTTTACAGTGTTGACAACATGGTCCAGCTCATGGATGTGTGACAGTTTATTAAAGAAGGGCATGGTGTGCCTTTTGACTCTGGGGGTCCAGTTCACATTGATGGTCGCACTGCTGCCAGTCCTGGTTGTGGCTCTAAACTCTCATTTCTATGGCAATCTGGTGGTATACTTCCTTGTTCTTATGGCTTTTGAGATCTTCGTAAGTCTCCTCATTGTCTCAGGGGGCAAGGAGGTCCCTGATCTCTGCCTGTGTCCAGTTACTGCCTGGGTCCAATCACCAACCAAGCCACAAACCGGCCTGGGTCAGGTCTGGCCTGGCCCTGGCAACCAATGACCAAACCAGCCTGGGACAGCTCTATGTCAACCTGAACTAGCCTGGCCCATCTCGCCCAAACCATGATTTGGCCCATGTCAGCTCCTTGCTGACCAAAAGCCATAGATTGGCCCAGGTCACCTTACTGCTCATCTGATCTCGTCTGTTCTGCCTCATGTACTGGAAACACCAGAACCGACTTGGGGGTGGGGCCATGCTGGTCTCAGGTCTTTGTGTCAGCCACGTTAAGGGGCATTCTGGCTCTCGGGGCGGCAGGTGTGGGTCATGTGCAGGGCACACAGCTGCCTTGGCACTCAATGTCTCCCTGCAGCCCTGGAGTGCAATGCAGGGCTGGTGAAAGGGGCTGGGATTTCCTAGTCCTGAGGCAGCCAGAGACGGGGAGTAGTGAAGTCCAGCTTGAGTCACAGACTATGTCCTTTTGGGGGAATGGGCAGAACAATGCATTCTGGGATGCTGGGGCATAGTGTGGCAACTTCTTTCAGAAGGGTGAGTGTATGTGAATTCACTTTCCTGGTAGAAACTGTACGAGGGCCACTTCTACTGGTTTGGATTGAGTTAATTTTCTCCCGGAACCATCATACTTGATTAGGGACAAATTGTGAACATTTGTATACTTAGCATTTCTACTGGGAGAACTGCAATTTTCTTGTTAGAAAAGTGACGTGTATGCACCCTTTGGCTGGGGTGTGCTGATACTTTATTTGGGACTTAGAAAACTGAGAGGGTCCTGGCTAGAGCATCTTGCTTCTCCCCTCAAGGTCATATCATTGACCACATTGGGATCAGGAAAGAATTTTACCCCATGGTCTTATTTGCATTGACTGCAGTAGGTTTTGCCTTCTGCAGTGGTGGGACATGGCTCGTTTTTCAGATCTTCTGAGAATATTTTAACAAAGTAGCTTCTTGCTCTTGTACAGATAGAATATTGACCGTGCCCTCGGACCTCTGCTTTACCAAGGCAAGATAATGGGTGAGTTTTGGTGTTTCAGGCATCGTATCTGGTAGCAGTATGAGGGCTGCTTCCAAAGTTTTTTAAGAGCAGGCTGGACAAACAGTTGTCTAGAATAACTTAAAAAATGATGATCCTGCCTTAAGCAAGGAGTTGGACTAGATAACCTCCTGGGATCTCTTCCAACCCTACTTTTCTATGATTCTATGAAGTGGTTCTGCCATGCTATTTTTCTCTGATGCCACAGATGCACATTTCCTGGTGCAAGATGAAATGAATGTGTGCATTTTTTATGAATCCTAAGGGTAGGGCTTCATGTCCACATAGATGATAAATCTTCTAGATTATTTCAGTATTTAATGGCTGCTGCTGTGGGGCATGCCTAGGACAAACACCCTTTGTTCCTGAGAACTAATACAAAGCAAAACCAATGGCCACATCCAGACGAGTGTGGCCATGTGGTATGTGGTGCCGCAGACATGTCTGTGGTACCAGGTACTGCACAATCAGTTGTTCCCTGCATGGGAAGGGAGCAGTGTGGAGGGTTTTTTGACTCCTGGATATCCAGGGGTCAAAAAAATCTTTGAAGAAAAAAAGAGCAACGCTCGATTGGGCAGCACGCACCCTCAAAAGCAGAGCCAGGCTGCCCAGAGCCGCACTGTGGCTGCCAGCCAGGATCTGCATGGCAGAATCACCACTGCTGCAGCCCCGGGAGGGCCCCAGAACCCCAAGGAAGGCTGCTTTGGCCAGCCAAGTGTTGATCCCAGCCTCCCCTACTGGCCCTGGGGTAACTTGCCACATGCCAGGTGTTCCCCAGGGGAACTAGCAGCGGCATAAGCTGCACTGCTGCTAGCTGTCCCTGGGGAACCAAACATCCACACCACATGTGGACGCGGCCAAATGAGGCCTCATTTGTGCTCCAAGTGGGCAATGATCACATAAGGTAGTTCTGTTTTCTCTTCCCCTCCTCTTGAATCACCCTGCCTCAGTCCCCACTAAGAGTCCATATTCCAGTGTCGTGTGATGGCCCCATGTGGTGTCTAGTCCCTCCTATGACTCTTGCAACATTTATATCTCCCAGTCTCTTCATCATTTTCTCTTCAACCTGTCCCTTCCCCTCCATTACTCCTTGCTTCCCACTTCTCCTGCTTTCTCCTCCTTTCTCCTTCCTCTGTGGGGCAGGGGTGAAGCTTTAGGAAGGGGGCCTTGGGGCTAGCTGGGAGGAGAAACTGAAGGGGAAGTCTTGCTCGCTGCCTGCTGCTCTACTCACAAGTGACATTTGAGGTGACAGGGAAGCAGTAGAAACAGGGCAGGTGTGTCTGACTGTCACCACAGATGAGTGAAATTTGGCAGGTATGTCTGTATCTTCTGTACCAAGCCACAAATGAACAGGGATGGAATACCATTTGACTATCAGAACCAAATGCAAACTTCTTACCTGTGTCTCTTCCTTGATCAATGACAATAAATTTAGACAAAACTCACCAATTCTATACCTCCCCTGCTTTAATTGGTACTAGTCTTTCCCTGATTTCCATCAGGGATAAATCAATTCGCAATTAATATAAAATGACTGATTTGCGTACATGAGCTAGTGCAACATGATCCATGGCAACTTCAGTCCAGAGTGCCAGGAGAGGCTGTAAGCATGTTCTGAAGCTAACAGCCGTTGTGCTCAAGCCTACCTGAAACAACATCTGGCTTGGCCCTTTGTTATCTCAAAAACAGCTGATTTAATCTTTTAACATTAATTAGAAATGATTTCAGGTTGCAGCTGTGGATATCAAGAACAAGATAGCTGTGTTCAAGGATGGATTTAAGATGGAATATAACAAACTGCTGATAGCGACTGGAAGCACGTAAGCTACAAACATTTTGCACATCAAGATAAGTTATACTTATCTTAGAAAATAAGGTACTTGTGCCTAGGGAAATAGAACCAACACTGGAACTGAATTAGCCATATGAGTAGAAAATTTTTGTTTGCAAGAATATTTTCTGAAAAGAAAAGTGTTATGAATATTGTGGGATTATATATTCATCTAGGAATCCTGGTCTGAATATATATTCACTTAAGTAGTCATTCATGCTAGAAATGTCGGCACAGACAAATCTAAAGATGCTTTTTGTTTTGGAGTCATCCAACCTAGGAAGCAAAAATCAAAGATCAGGCTAGCTAATGATGGATAATGATTGTTGAAGTAATGGTTACAATGAATAGTTCATGTCCAACATGTAAACTAAATATTGTTTTCAGAAATCCTTTACAGAGTAATTTTGAATACTGAATAAATATGCATCAATCAAAGGAAATGTGTGGATAGTTTGTAAACAAAAAGGATCTAAATTGTAATAAACTCTTTGATGCAGATAACTTATGAAGCAGTATGCAGGGTAATAGGTAATAAAAAGCTACAGATGTTGCCCGTCCAGTTACTAAAATTAACTCTTAAACAGTTCAGAGAGCAGTATGGTGCGTCTACATGTACATTAATGTGCTTTAGTTAAGGCACATTAAATCTAGTATCTCCATTGCGAGGGCATTTTTACATGCATTTATGATGTGGCGCCAGGCACTTTTAATTAGCGAGCCATGCTAATTAAAAGCACCTACGCATCATGTGTATCAGTGGCACAGCACATCCCCTCTCTAAGAAAATAATAGTGGTGCAGTTTGAACTTAAGCACATCGAACATGTTTTATTTCAAAGTGCACTGTTGCCATTTTGTCAGTGCAGAGACGCACTGTACCATTAATTCACATGATGTGCAAGGCTGCCAGAGCACATCAATTTACATGCTCCAGCAGACTCAATTAGTTGAGTCTGCTCCAACACACTGAATTTCCAGCATGTCAGAGCAGGTTCCCTGCGTGTGTGTAAGTCATTAGCGTGTCTTGATGCGCATTAACTAAAGAGCATGGTTTTTGAGTCACGCTTAATGTGTAGCCTATTTTAATGCACATTAAGTAAAAGCATGTTTTTTTCAGTGATGCTTTAATGCACTTTAAAATAGGCTAATGTGCATTAAAGCGCACATATAAATGTGCCCATTAACTATATATAATAGATTGAGAATTTAAATTATACATAAATTATTATGCTCAAAACATTAAGCTTTTAAAATGAAATATCAGTTGAAGGTCAGGAAATGCCGAAGTTAAGGACTGAGTATTTATGGTTTGTCATAAAAGGGACTTAACTATTTTTTCCCCAGTTATAATCAGGTCAATCAGAAGGAAGGATAGACACTTGGGTCCTCTGCCTCTGTTAATATATATCCATGTACCCTGACTGTAACCCAGTGATGAGGGCACTTCCCTTGAGAAGGCTAAGAGCTGGGTTTAGGTCCCTGCTGCAAGAATAATTTCTGCTTCTGCAGTGACTTTCTAATTTGTAAACAGTCTTGGTAACGAGGACTAGAGGTCAGGTTTCTACTCTCAGTAGCCAATGCCCTATTCCTGGGCCATATAGTCCCATTTCCTTGTTTGCTGTACTTCTGATCTATTGTGTCTTGTATTTTTGGCTGCTAGATAGTCCAGCTTCAACAGGAGGAATTGAAGATATCCTTACCCAGACTATTGTATACCCAGTGAATAAGGCACTCTCTAAGAAATGGGAGTTTAAAAAAAAAAATCCCATCAGGGTCAGGAGAGCCTAGAACCCAGCTCTCCCTTGTGAGACCATGTTCTAACCTCTAGATCTGGAGTTGGTAACGTTTTGGAGCTGGTGTTAGTTCTGAGCACAGGCCACTTCTAATATAGCCTGAATTGCTGCTGATGCAACCACCGTCACCACTCCCCATTGCAGTGCCACTGCTGCTGTCACCCAGCTGCTGTGGAATCTCCCGGTCACCAAAACTCCTGGTCACTCTCCACCTCCACAGCCTGGATAAAAGGGTTCTGCAGGTCAGATACATACCAAAGTCAGTAGGTTACTAACCCCTAGTCTAGACTATTATGTAAAAGGGAGACACCATCACTGGCTGTGGTCCTGAGTAAGGGTGAATGCGGGTGCTATACTTTGTACTGAACTCAATGAACTCAGTGTGAATTGGGCATGATCTGTGAAACTGGGAACTTACACAGAATTTAAGAACGTTGCAATTCCATACTGGATCACAGTGGAACTTAGGTGGAAGCTAGGCATCCTCTGGCTCAAAGTAGATCACTTTCTGACCATACTCAGAAGCTTACATCTTGGTATCTAGGGATCTTTGGAGACCAAAGTGGAGGTATGCCCAGTGAATTTAGACCCCTAAGCAGTTATGTATCTGCTGGAATAGGGTCAGTTTAGATTGTGACTTAGGGCCAATATTCTTCTTATAGTTGGGAGAGAGTTTTGACCTACACAGTTGGTCCAATAAAATATATCACGCAAAACCCTGTCCATTCTTAGGCACCACACTGTTGATGCATGAAGGAGAAAAGAATTTCAACCTTAAGCACCACAGTGATAAAAATACTAAGGAATTTCCCACCTGCTGGAATCCATAGCCTGCATTTACACACTCAAGTGTGTAATTCTCTTTATCCAGTGCATGGTAAAACTTAGATGTCCAAGAAAGGAATACACAAAAGTCAACATGCTGAGCAGGGAGTGACTTAAATTAGCTAATGAAAAATTCTGAGAAGGCGGCTGTGGTTTAAATCACACTCACTACTGATTTCCCCCCTTGGACTTAGGTGCTTCCCTTTATTGGGTATTCACAGGCATGAACTCTCTACTGAAGTTATGTGCGACTTTCTCACAAGACACAAGGGAGGAGAGGAGCCCCTTCTTGTACCTCAAAACTCTGTCTCAAACAGTCACTGGGAATGTCTACATGTGCATATTAATGTACAGTGGTTGATTGCTCCTGGGTGCCCAGGACTGCAACATGTTGAGCCAGGTCAGAGCAGCTCCAGCTGGCAGAGGGCCCAAGGGGTTAGCTTGTTGACTCAGGGCTGCTCCAACCTGGCTCAATGTGCTGTGGAGGGGCTAGCTGGGACACACAGGTGTTTCAGTGCAGGCAGCTCCCATGCTTAAGCACCCTGATGCCCCAGCCATCCCCATCAGCATCTGTATGTATGTGTGTTGCTGCAAAGTAAAGCATTCCATTGTATTTATAAGTGCTAACCTGTTCCAGAGTCTATTAGTTTACTCCAACCTAGTAGCCCTGGACATGTAGGCACTGAGACATTCTGCAGAGCTAATTAGGCAATTCCATAATAAATGTCTCATCTCCATATGCAATTCATGCTCCTAAATTTTCAGGCTCATTTAAGTGCTGCCAGGTGCATGTCTACACATGTGCCTGCATCAGGAGCAAATTGAGCCTAATGGGAGCAGCCCAATCCAGGGCTGCTTCTGCCCTGCTCTGCCCCACAGCAACAGCCAAGGCAGGGGGGAAACTGTCCCAGCTGGATATGGGTAGACAGCTCCATCCCAGCTGGGACAGCTTCCTCTCCCCCCGGCCCAGGGCTAGCCTGATCTCCCTTTGTCTGGGATGGAGTTGCCTGTCCAGCAAGGACAGTCCCCGTCCCCCCGGCTTAGGGCCAGCCCGATCTTTCCCCAGGCTGGGACAGAGCTGTTGGCTGTGTAAGGACAGCTCTCCCCTGCCCCAAGGAGATCTGGGCTTAGCCAGGCAGTAGCATGGCCCCTGCCGCCTGGGCTTACTGGGAGCAATTTGCTCTCAGTTAGTGTCTACGTATGCAGTATCGTGCATTAATTAATGCACCATTTTTCTAGTACACATGTGTACATATATACATGCGTGCATGTGCACACACACACACACACACGTGTAATTATGATGGATGGATGGATGGATGGATGGATGTTTCAGGAAGGTCTACAAGAACCAGTACAGACATACTGAACTTCATTGTCTATAACAACAAAGGAATTTTGGTACCTTGAAAAAAACTGAGCAGGGAGATTTCCCCCCCTCCCCACTCCAAAATGTGACTCAAGGAGGTAATCCCTGTTCTCTTATACTTAATAGCACAATGGTTAAGCATTCATCTAGTATGAGAGAACCTGGTCAAATTCCCTCCTTCAGCTATCTACAGGTGCTAGAAAACTGAATGTTAGACTGATCTACTGTGCAGTGTAGATGATTTTTTTACTGCACATTAGATTACTCTAAGGTTCAGTGAAGTGTCTCATGTAGATGTACCCACTGTGAGGTAGTTAGCTATGTTAGTCTGAAGTCAGTCTGAAGACAGGGTAGGTATGTACCTTTAGGGCTCCCATACAAGTGCAAGGAGCCTGCTCCAATTTGCTGGTAATCCAGCACAATCAAGGCAGACTTGATTAACTGAGTCTGCTGGAGCACGGAAATTGACGCCCTCTGGCAGCCTTCTGCATCACGTGCGTCAGCACCCCCGTGTGTCCCCGTGCTGAAAAAATAACACCGGGGCGCTTTGAAATAAAACACTTTCGATCAGCTTTAGTTCTAAAGTGTCCTGCCACTATTTTTTCAACATGGGGACATGTGGGATGCTGAAACATGTGATATGCGGGTACTTTTAATTAGCACAGCTTGCTAATGTCCTAAAACATGTTGCTAATGTCCTAGCACAGTGCTGTGTCCTAAAACATGTGTAAAAATGCCCTTAACAGACTAACTAAATGAGAGACAGAGAACGCACAACCTTTCATGGTTTGAAGCTCTCTTCATCAGCATCTGATGAAGTGAGCTTCAGCCCACAAAAGTTTGTGCACGCACTCACTCTTGCAAACTCTCTCTCTCTTTCTCTCTTTTAGTTAACCTACCCTGCCTTCTAAAAGAGTCATCTCAGAGGTACAAGTCCTTTTTCTGCACAATGCGACTTGAACTCACGTTTTCATCAGCTGAGTGAGTACTTTCACCACCA